ATCGAACAGGCGGTCCATGCGGCCTGGCTGGTGATACAGCGGGCAGCGCATGTGGGCGGGCCGCGGCATCTCCCGACATGCCAGGTGGGTGGTCGTACCCATCTCCCATTCTTGCCAGATTCCTCCCTGCGTGCGTGCGGTCAGAGGCATCTGCATGCGAGATGCGACCATGATCCATCTTCTGTCACTTCTTTTTTTTTCCCCCCTTTTCGAGGATTTGGCAGTAGGAGTAGCTTTCTCAGCCTACTGGCTGCTGACTGGCCGATGGGCGATGATCTTGCTGCCCGCGGAAAGTTAGGGTTCTCGATCCGCGTAATGTTAATGTTTTCCCGAGGATTTGCGCTTGATCTCCGAATCATGGGAGATTTGAAGGTTGTTAAGTTGGTCACTCCGCTGATCCATCTCTTTACTTATCCAGAACAACTCCAGCAGAACCCCGACTTAAGCCCTCCATAGCTAAATGTAGGGGCTCAGGTCAAAAATCCAACTCCAGCAGAGCCTATACTACGGACCCCAAATTTGTGGGGGCACCAAATCCTCCCACCAGACCCCATTCTGGTTGGGCCAATGTCCCAGCCCCCATCCCTCTCCACGTGCATCTGCCTCGCGTAGTCGCGCACAGCCCCTTCCCGTAAGCCTGCGAGCAGGAAGCGACGGTAGCCCTTGTCCGGTGAAATCCTCCCTGGCACGGCCCCTTCCCTGCAGCTTCCTCCGCTGCCGGTGCTCCTCCCGTTCCACCAGAGCCCCTCCCCTCCTCTCCCGGCGCTCCTCCCGGCACAGCAGCCCCAGCCCGTGCGGGAGCCCCTCCCCTGGAGGTGCGGCCGGCGGCGGCTCCACCTGGTGGCGCGGATCAAACCTTCCCGAAGGCCGGCCAGCAAGCCCGTGCGGCCACCGGCTCCGCCCGCCCCACCGCCGGCTCTTTCCCTCCCTCCGCCGCTGCTCGAGGCCAGGAGTCCGTGGTGCTTGTCGAGCCTCTCCCCTCCTGCGCGCGTGCGTTGGGATAGCTCAGATGGTGAAAGATTGAAGATGACAAGTGGGTCCCAATGATCAGTCTCTCATAACAGAATTTGGGGCTTTGATTTAGGGGCTTATGCTGGAGCAAATGTAAAATAGAGGGCCAACAAAAAATAGGGGAAAACACCCAAATTTAAAATGGGGGCTCTGATTTTGGAGCTACTGCTGAAGTTGCTCTCGGACCTTCAGCTATCCTGTCGTTGCATGAGCATCGAGAAGCTTCGTCCTCCTTCCCACGAGATCGAACTCGATCGACTTTCCCAGCAGTTTCAGCGTGGGATTACAGTAAGTATGGCTTGTTGGCGTTGCCGCATTGGTTCCGGATCGAGGCTCTTGCTGCTCAGCTAGCTGCACCGTTGGTTCGTTGTCCATTTTGTGTCCTAACGTGCTATGGGTTTCTAAATTTCTAAATTTCTTGTGGAAGGAGCCTCTGCCCCGCCATAACCCAAAATAAATAAAAATGCAGCAGGTAGGACGATCGAGCCACCGCGAAAATAAGTTACTGGCTATTAAAATTTGTTTTTATCTCTCCTAAGCTATCAACGTTTTTTTAAAAAATATATTGGCAAAAATATAAATTCTATGACGCGGAACATCTCATGAAGCGCCGTGGTGTTTTTCTATGTGAATTTTTACGTTTTCATTCACAAGTAAAGATAAAGGTGCTTTATCGCGTGGCAAGCGCGGAGAGCGCCTCTCAAAAAAGGATAAAGGTGCTTTACACCTACTCCATCACTCCAAGAAAGAATGCAACTATGGGTTACATACTGATTAAAGTGGTTCATGTTTGACCAAGATTCTAGTGAATGATATTTACATTTATGGCTCCAAATCAATTACTCGTATTATGAAAATAGACTTCGTAATTAATCTAATGATATTTATATGATATCATAAATACTAATATTTTTATTTACAATTGATTAAATTTATATGATACTAAAAAAGTGATATTGTGCTAGAATTACAATTTTTTTAGACGGAGGGAGTAACATTTTCCCTTTTATTTAAGGGCTTGTTGCCACTGGAGCGCCGTCTTTGCTCTATGGGCTATATTAACGTCGGCAGAACGGCGGTCTTGGGCCACTCCGTACTATGATGTGTCGAGTCGACGATTGCATGTCGGCCCATGGTGGCGTACAGGTGCAGCCGAAGGAGGCCCAAATCAGTTCCCACCAGCACTTGATGGGTCGTGGCCCATTTGTTCCACCTCTCACCACCTTGCGCTGGGCGAGCAAATGGAGATGGCCGCGGCGGGAGGAGGAGTCGGAGGTGGGGGAGGCACTGGCGTCGCGTGCGGAAACAAATCCTACTAGTGATTTGCGCGCGCCCATGCTCGCGAGTTCTCGTCCGAGCTTTATCTTGGAAATGGATTAATGTTGACGAAGAACGAATATGATAAACTCTATCTGAAACAAACGGGGAACAATAAAATAGCGACTACATATTACATGAGACATGGGGGTCCTCTAGATAGCATCTTAATGTTCTAGGAGGCATAGCCACGGTGGGATGATAGGTGTCTTACATACATAATTCTACATAAAAGTGCTAGGGGGCAGGTCGCCAATGATACATGATCTGAAAGGCAGCCTAATACAACATACTGGGCACGACAAAAGGCGTAGCAGCGCATGGCTAGACAGAAGAGCGACGTAAGGAGTGCCAGCTTCTAAGGTTTCACTGATGTTGGCAGCTTCAGTAGAGGTGCCAGCTCCGATCCGACTCAAAGCTACAAGCGGGTGAATAATCTGATAATTGCATGTGTAAATGTTAGTGTGTATCGTGTTAGTGAAGCGTGGTGCTAGGAAAAGTAGAGGTGTAGCTGGTGACGTACCTCGGGGCAGGTAATAAGCAGTCTGTTCGTTTTGGCCGAAACGATCGTGGATTATTACTGCTGGCTGGTTTGGTGTGAGAGAAAAATAATATTCTGACTTATAATCCACGATCGTTTATAACCAAGCGAACAGGCTGAAGGTTCCTCAGAGGAAACGCTGTAGGAGGAAGAGCCGTTGTCCGATGCATATCCATGGTACCTTGCACGTTCAAGCCTTGCATTGGCTACAATCCATGTTGAAGCATGATCAGTGAACTGCTAAGACACCAAGCACTTAGTCTGCTATGAGTGTTACCTCTATGCTGCCAAGCGTAGGCCTCCTGAAGCACTTCCCTATCGTAGCCAAACTCCTCGGCTAATTTAAACAGCGAAGGAAACAGCGGTGAAGTTAAGTTGGTAGAAAAGGCAAAAAGGAAATGTGCTGTCAGTCCAATAAAAGGTGGCATACATGATTATTACCTGTGTCAAAGGATGCAGCAGAATCAACCGAGCTGAAATCAGCTGGATTGGGATGGACCTCCTCCTCTACAAATTCTGGTGCCTCGGAATAGTTGTAGGTCACCATTGTGATAGGAAACATCATGATATTGTAAGCCGATTTCCCCAGACTTTGTGATAGAGTCAAAGGCCCTGTTCGGCTTACCCAGAAACCGGCTTGTTCGGCTTGTTTTTTCAGCCGGAACAGTGTTTTTCTCTCACAACAATTCAGCCAGAACAGTGTTTTTCAGCCAAGTTTCAGCAAGCCAAACGGGGCCTTTGTTGAGTGTGTATGCATCGACACGGCATACGCCCCTAGACTCAGTGAAGCTGTGAGCCTGGATGCTGCAGTGGCGCTCAAGTAAGGGTCCTAAGGCACTTGGATGGAATGTATGCGGCGGGAAGCCATCAATGTCTATAGCTACCTCGGTCTGCTAGTCGAAGGTTTTAGCAAAGATGAAAGATGGTAAAATTATTCTGATTGCTTAACCCTTCTTGAAAGTAGAATATGTGCTTACCTAGAACGGTTAGCTAATGAAGTAATCATGTCTGTCACTAAAACTTAATTGTAAGGATAAACTATTAGTAATACATTTCGCAAACAAAAATAGAACAACAAATTCATATTACTTATCATATTTCTTGGAGTCGGTAAACTATTTCCACTAATTGGGTAAGTCTTGCGAGTTCATTGTGTACTCCGGATTTATTTTACCCCCGTTGCAGGTGCAGCTTGAGAAGTAGCTCTTGTGTGGAGGATTCTTCTAGTGGGCACAGACGGATCCTTGTATCGTTTCCACTAGATGTTTATTTTTATTCCGCTGTTTAATTATCGCACTCTGAACTCTGATATTGTAATAAATGATTTTTAAGAACTCTGGTTTATGAAATTGACTAAGTATTATAAGCTCGTATTCATTATTGGATTCTGAATGTAAAACGTGGATTGTTTCGAGTTCTCTATTTGGGTGTGCTCGACGGAACTATCTAATATAGCTCTCTTTTGAGGTGCTTAGTGTCTAGTGGACGACGAACGCCTCTGAAAGCGTGTTATTTGGGGCGGTTCTGCCACAGCTGCTCTTAGACGGTTTAGGAGGCTGATATGCGGGCCAGGCGTCGTATCTGACGGTGGGCCATGCTGGGTAGGCTGGGCGTAGAAGAAGGGGCCTGGATGTCTATGCTGGTCATCTGGAGGCAGGGGACGGTGCGTGGCTGCCAGTGGACCCGGTGTACCTGGGCCAATCGCTGGTCGACAGCGAGCTGAACTGGCCAGTGTTGAATGGACAAGCACGAACGGGTGGGAACTGTGGAAGGGCGATGGGGAAAGGAAAAGCTGCAGTATGGACGGTATCTGAGTTCGATCAGGAAGACGAATTCTGTTGCTGAGCACACGTATAAGATGGATTCCATGCTAATTAAAATAGCCAGAGTTTCCTAACTGAAAGAGATGGACAGATTCCAGTCAAACAACGCTCTACAAAAGCAACTCCCAGGCGCATTGATCTTTCTAGGAGCATGCTATGAGAAGAGTTTTAAAACATAGCCATGTACAGAGGCTAAACAAAATGTCAGGATACACCAACGTCATTGCTAATGAGATGCAGGGGAAGCTTATTCCTTGACAGAGTTCCCAGTCTGTTTGGGAAGAAGAGGCATGGCGTTGTCTGAAGATTCAAGAAGACATAGCAGCTCTGCACGCAGTTTCGTTAAGAGTCTTTGAGAGGCTGCAGCAGGCCGAAGCTGGATCTATCTTGCAACTGCTCTGAATCATCTCCTGACGGCTTTTCTTTCTTGGGGATGCCATCTGCTTGGGTGGAAGGAGTGGAAGCACCATTGAAGCCTCCTGGCACACAGAGTCAAATGAAGACAAGAACTGATGGAGCGCCATCTTCTTTGCACTGATCTCATTTTTTAGTTTTTTAGCTTTGTCTTCGAACAACATGAGCCACGTGTTAGAGCGAAACACGTCAGCTTTGAGTTTTGAAACATGTTCAGCATTGTAATCGTCAATTACTATTCTCTTTTCGTTTTCAAGGTGTGTTAGCACAGTGTGGTAAGCGTTCTCGATTGATAGGTTCTTTGTGAGTGCAGAGCTGCCCAAAAACTCTTTGGTTTCCCTATCACACGATTCTTTTGACCCAATATTGCCAATCTCTAGCCTGGTGATGAACGTGTCCCCATCGATCTGTGTCGTTTTCTCCGACTGTATAGTCAGCTTGAACTCCTTCGCAGCTAGAGCAAATAGCTCTTTCCTGCTCACCCGAAGAACTTTTGGAGCCTGGAAGCATAGTAGGAAGAGCAGGTATCATCGTTAAAGAAGAAACGGGCTTGAGGTAGTTGGTGGAGGAAAGGGATGCAGGGTCTGGTACCTTTGGGAGTCGATCACCGTCCTCCATGAGCTCTAGATCAGAAAGGGCTTTTGTGGTGTCCATGGATGAAGCAGCAAAGAAGTGTAGTGGGAGCTGGGAAGAAGAGGATGGAGTCTAGCGGCTGGGTATGTCTGGGCACTGCAGGTTGGAAGGGTAATAAGGTCTGTGCTATGACTGTGCTGTCGAGGAGAGATTGGCCTCTTCGGCTGGGTGATACTGTGGACCGGGAACCCACCGTGTGCATGCGCTGTCGAGCAGGAATTGGTCTGGGGAGTTGGGTGGTAAAGAAAATCCCTGGTGCATGTAGAAGCAGGATATGCTGAAACGGTCACAGCCACCCCTCGTGTAAACAAATTCACTGAGTATATTTTCCTGCGCAGCACTGCTGCTATGTAATCCAAAATGCCTGCGGTGAGTATTATTTCACATTTTCTTCACCACAATAGCAAGTAGGTTTTACTGGCACAAGTGGAACTGACCTGTATTTTGCAGTCTCAGTCAAGCAGCCGGTAGCAAGGGAACTGCTGTGTGGCAGGATGTCGACGCAGCAAGCCATCACTACGCGCATGATCGTGGATGGTGGCACGCGACATCATAAGCCAAAAAACGATTCAAACCTGAAACCAAGGAGGATAAGCAGCGCTGTCAGTATGCAAAACAACACTGAACGACACCTGCCACACAATGGGAACGAAAGAACAACACTGAAAAACACCGCCATAGAGAAACAGACGAGAAAAAAATCACAGCTAGAAAAGCTACGAGAGCTCTGGTCCACTACATTGAGGGCTCTGTATAGCCAGCAAATTAGAGAAGGGTTTATAGTTTTCCCAAAATACATAAGGTCAGCCGCAAGTCTATTTCGCAGGACCATCAAAATATCAGGGTCTATAGTTTCCTGGTATCCATAACATTAGTCGCATCTCTAGCTCTCACACGATCATCAGTCTATGTAAGGTGTGACTGCAGGGTTGCTGCCGCCGCCTAGCAACACCAGTGCAGTAAGGCGCACACACAATACATACAAGGTAAAACACATCAATTGCTAAAACTAAGAAGTTCTTCATGCCTATACACCAATACATGGCCAGAGCATACATCATCAGGCGGTTGCTTCCCAACATGGAGGATAGGACAGCAGCAAAAGCAGGCAGAAGTCTTCTCTGGATGGTAAAAGGCAGCGACTCCATCCAGCCAAAAGATTTGAAGCGGCACGGGGTACCTATAAAGTAGGAAGCTCAGTCAATGGCCGAAAATGTTCTGTGCGTCACATGGATTCGTAGACAAGGAACTTGGCCTACTAAATGTAACTGAATCGTTAATTGAAAGGAGGGAACAGAAGGTCTTAGGACCAATTGCTGGCACTCAAAGTATGTTCTTTGTGGCACAAGGAAGAATGCATAACTGGTGAAGCAAGTGAGTTTGCAATTCTAAATGGAAGACTGTCGCCACAGAACATTACATACTTAAAGCACCAAATGCGAAACGAACCTTATCTAGCCACTCTCCTGAGCCACAGAAGAAGCTCCACGAGACCTTTTCTTATCAGCAGCATGGGTTTTGGTAGGCACAGCGCTGTACAAAGAGAAACAATATGCATACATGAGTATCGTCCACAACATTAGAGCAGTGAGGGCATCGTATACCTCTTGGTCACATCAATGGAAGCGCCATCCAGTGAAGCAGCTGATGCGTTATCTTCCTGCGAATCTTTATCTGTCAAGCTAGCCTATAAAAGAAAACGTAGGTGATCAGTGCATGAACATACTGTAAAAAAATGGTGGGCAGTGAGGCAAAGCAGAAAGGTTTACGGTCCGCAGCGTGATGCTAGCTGTACCTGTCCAAGGTCATCAGAGCCATAGGTCAACCTCTTTCGAGAAGATGGGTTCCTGGTTTTAGCTGACTGATCTCTGCAAACAAACATCAGGTATGCATTACTGTGAGGGAGCACACTGGCAGGTGTTCTTAAAGGAAAAAAGAAAGAGTGCATTACCCTGTTTTCTTCTCTGCTGGCGGCGTGTCGTCAATGCGAAGAGATGGAGGTGGGGTCTGCAACAGAGGGGAGATCTAACTGCATCAGACACCGACATGACTCCAAAGCGTAAAAACGATGGAGGGAACTTACATTTGTAGCCACCGGAGACGGAACACCGCCGTCTGTCACAGAATTAGGTGTCGCCAATTCTGATCCATCATCAGTGGCGGCAGTGAGGCTATGATCAGACTCAGGAGTACTGGGATGGGCACCATCTTCGTTCACAGGAGCATAAGGAATAGCATTTGGCTGACCATGTGATGTCACCACAGAAACAACCTGATAGGTTTTCTGCTGCCTGTAATAGCTCTGCTGAGTCAGAGAGACCTGAAAGGTGAATCTGAGAGAAACCATCTTGGTAACATCTGGTGGATATGTGTTAGCATTTGTAGCTGTTCTAAGGATTTGCTGTACTGGCTTCCCAATGATGCGACGAGCAACATCACCGAAGCTTACCATCTCTGCCTCATCCGTGCCATCAAGGGCCACAAAGGAAATCTTGTACCTATATAAGATTGGGTAAAGTCCACTTTAGGACCTCCAACTATCACAGAAGTATGGATTTCAACCTCCAACTTCAAAACCGGATAACATTGGTCCTCCAACTCTCGAAAAAGTTCACTTTAGGACCCTGGCCGGTTTCCCAGGCGGTTTTGCATGGCACTGTAGCAGTGCTGACGTCAGCGATGACGTCAACACTTTTTTTTAATTTGCAAAATTGATATCTTTTTATTCGGAGCTTCAAATATAGCAAATAATATATCAATTTTGATCGTCTCGACGAGCTCTTTGCAATGGTGTACTCCGTTTTGTTGTTTGAGATAATTTTATTTCATGAAAAAAAATAAATATTTCTACAAAACAAGTTAGAATAACAGAACTCGTGGAATTTGTTAGATAAATAATATTTTTATTATTATGTAACACGAAATGTTGTCTTTTTAGGTTCATTTGACCATAGAATATATAAGTTTGACCATTTTTGAAATGCAATAATTCAAAACTTGTTTTGTAGAAATATTTCGCTTGTGTGTCCATTGGGTCCGCAAATATTTCGCAATAATTCAAAATATTTCGCAATAATTCAACAAAGGCGCCGTGTCCGTCCGGTTCGTTTGCACGACACGAGCTTCGCCGTGTCTGCCGCCACCTCGCGTCGGGCGGGCGCGAGGGCGACGAGGCGCGACCGCCATAACGCCGACGCCACGGAGATCCTCGCCGGACGACCTTCAGCTTGGGCACGCGCGCTCAACTTACCGATGCCGCACAAGATTCTAGACCACGAGTAAGCCACTCACTATTGCCGCTACCTGCTCCCTCAATTCAATCTAGCTATCCACCGCCACTTCATGCGGTCATACTCATGCCATGCCCGCCCAGAAGCAGATACGCATGTGTCGGCCGAATGGTCGCCCAGGTTCTGTGTCTTTGCAATAGTAGCCATAGGAAAGGAAAAAGGACAGTGTACATGAATCGATCATCGTATCGGATTTGGGTACAAGATAAATATAATACTACTACTACCACTAGCTACTTAATTTCACCACAAAACAGAAAAAAAAACTACACTAGGAGCGGTAAACATATCGTTTGATCGTGTCATATGTTGTGAGTTAGTTAACCGCATGACTAGGAAGGTTAATTCAAAAATATCTAAGCGATCATGGCAGGTGTCGATTGACCGTCCAACTCCCTGTTTTATATACTGACTACATTGGTGTTGTACATATATAAATATACAAAGTATATAAAATACTTGCATACGCCAAACTTAATTGCATAACTTGTTTTGTAGAAATATTTATTTTTCATGAAATAAAATTATCTCAAACAACAAAACGGAGTACACCATTGCAAAGAGCTCGTCGAGACGATCAAAATTGATATATTATTTGCTATATTTGGAGCTCCGAATAAAAAGATATCAATTTTGCAAATTAAAAATGAGTGCTGACGTCATCGCTGACGTCAGCACTGCTACAGTGCCATGCAAAACCGCCTGGGAAACCGGCCAGGGTCCTAAAGTGAACTTTTTCGAGAGTTGGAGGGCCAATGTTATCCGGTTTTGAAGTTGGAGGTTGAAATCCATACTTCTACGATAGTTGGAGGTCCTAAAGTGGACTTTACCCTATAAGATTAGGAGCACAGCAGCTGGTCAGGTGTACAGACAGCACGGTAAAAGGTAAACAACTCAGCATGCATTGAGTAGGTACTCACTTGAACCTGAAAGAGTTTGTCGAGCATCCATTACACTTGTTGCCAGAGCCATCTGGAACACAGCTCTTGCTGCATATATTGCAAGATGGAAACCACCATGATACATTGGGAACAAGCCAACCAATAGTCACAGTGCAGCGGTACCCATTTTCCTACAACGTGTGACAGGGCGTTAATCAGTCGAGTAAAGCAACATCTGTAGTAAACAGCAGACTAAAAAGAACAAAGAATTTGTATCTTACAGCAAAATCATATGGATCCATCTCATTCAGTTCTCGTAGAGTTTTCTCTTCAAGAGGGGCAGGCGCTTGAACTTGACCTTGCTGCTCCACTGGTGCCGGAACAGATCTGATCTGAACTCTCTGGTTCTGATAACTGCAGAGCGGAAAAAATGATCAGGAACCGTGGTAAGTCTTTTTTTACAGCTAAAGGGGTAGTCTGGATGAAGCAAGCAGGCTACATGTATGCATGAAAAGGCCGTACCTGTCATAAAACTGGTGGGCCTCATGAATAGGTGGGTTGAAATACCACCGGGACGCTGTATTGGCGCTAACATAGTAAGTACCTACATAAGTTTCAGCCACCGTCAGTACTTCCACTGAGCATGCAGAATGCACAAACAAACAGGAACAATAGAACGCAAGAGGTGTACAGAAACAGACTGGAAGAACACGTACCTTGATAGGATTTCATCAAGCCTCCAACAAACAACACGACAATAGGTTTATCCTCAGCACCATTGTTGACAGCATCAGTGTTGAAGGCAGCAGCCCTCTCTCCCCATAGGGTGACCTTCATCTCAGAGTAGCTGCAAATGCCGGCAAAGCGAGCACAGTGAGAAGAGTCGATGGTTAACAAAACTTCAACAGTGAACCAAGAGCGAAGAAACAGGCAGCACCTTAAATCTCTCAGAACAATGTGCCTGGTGAGTGTAGGGGCAGGTTTGTTGGGCAGGTGAACCGTGTAAGCATCAGACTTCTCCACCAGCAGCCCAATGGTATCTGGAAACATGGTGGTGTTAGTTAAGAGCAAAAGCGACAGGAAGAACAGACGATGGACATGTAGTAGCGTACCAACGAAATCTCTGGTGTCACCAGCATGGGAGGGCAGGTCACTTATTGGTGTAATCCTGTAAGCATACTTTGGAAAGTCTGGCATATCAGTCCTTGCAGCTGAAACGACCGTGTGCAGCATGAACTCAACCATATAGCGAGAGGCAACAGGCCTGTAACCAGACTTTGCATTTGACACCCTGAAACGACTGATAACATAGATGCCACCTTCTTCTATGAGAGGACTCTTTGCCTCCACTTAAGAACCCGGAATCTCACCATACATGCTGTTGCCCTGCAATAACCATGTACAGAAGTATCTGCATGTATACAAAGCCAAATAGTAGTGGGGAAACAGGATTCTATGTATGCACAGTGAAAAGAATGACAATATAAATGAACCTTCTCATCAACAAGCACAAGGTCAACGTGCTGGATCGGGCCATCATCAGTTCCACCACAATACTCCCACTTGCGGCAGACGCAAACACAGATGACCGAGCGCCACGCACAGGGGCGCAAAGCAGGAAGCAAGTCAAAAGCCATAGCACACCGCTGCACAATAAAACAGGAGAAAAATCGAGAATCGAAAGAGGAAGACGTGAGCACGCATGGTAGACAGCAGAAACATAGCAAGAAGATAAGGCAAATGCAACAAAAGAATGGAAACAGGGCAAACCATAGTTAGATTCTGGGCATCCCAAAAGCCCCCCCAAATCAGGATATAGAAACCGCAGCGCAGCCTAGAGGGCACCACGACAAACTGAACTGACCAAAAAATCAAGGCCAAGGGTTCTAACTTGGTAACCAAAAAACGTTTCTTGGATGTCCACAAACAGTAGCCTAACCCAGAGGACACCATGGACTGCAACCGAACTAATCATAAGCATATCAAGGCCACAAAATCAAACCAAGGATCTTTAGAGCGGTGATCACAAAATCTATGTTAGCCAGGGAAGGGAAGCCAAGCACGTGCGGCGGTCGGGACCGTCGCAAAGATCTCACGATAAACAATATTCTGTCTCATCTGTGCAGTCACCGTCTGGGTTTTCTATGACCATTTTAAGACCATGCTTTGAAGTAACCCTACAAACAGCAACATACAACTGTCCGTGGCTGAAAACAGGATTTTTAAGGTAGATGCCAACATTGGCCAACGTCTGTCCTTGGCTCTTATTAATGGTCATGGCATAGCAAACCTTAATCGGGAACTGACGCCGCTCTAGGGTAAAGGGTAACCTTGTGTTTTTGAGAGTCAGGCAAATCCTTGGTATATGCACAACATCCCCAGCATGTGTCCCCGTTATTATTTTGGCTTCTATCAACATGTCACCAAGATTAGTAACGATCAGCCTTGTGCCATTACACAACCCACCGGACTGGTCAAGGTTTCTAAGCATCATTATAGGCACACCTTTCTTAAGGATCAGATGGTGGTGGGGAAAATTGTTGCCGTTCAAAGAATTCAAGAACTCAATGGGATACATTAGATCGTAAGACTCATGGGTTCCTGGGGATTTAGCTATTCTATCAGAACTTAAGTATTCCCTCTCAGCCCCGAGTATCAAGGACACAACATGTGAGTTTATACTATCGGCAGTCTCATTGGTTGGAGTTAAAATAGCACGGTTCTGAAGATAGAGTTGGTCATAGTATCTTGCACATAGTTCTGGGTACACAGCCTGAATGATGGCGGTGATCTTGTCTCCTTGTGGCATAAGCAACAGGTCGCGTGGTATCCTAACCCATGATGCCTCCGGCTCGCTGTCGTTTTTAATGTTTTCTACATTGCCCTCACCAATATCTAGCACCCATATACTAAACTGACTGATCTCTTTCTGTGCTTCTATGCTCAGATCTGGACACCGGAGCCTCATGTTTATAGTTAGGGATAAAACCGTAACCTGTTTCTACAAAGGAGAGTTAACAATTGCAGCGTTGACAATCTCAGCTCTACCACCACCCTCAACAACGGGTAGGGCTGGACAAAATACTCGCGGCTCGCCAACTCGCTCGACTCGTGGCCGGCTCAGCTCGGCTTGACTCGGCTCGTTTTAACTTTTTCACGAGTTGAGCTGGAAGTCTAGCTCGCTATTTTAACGAGCCAGCTCGCGAGCTGCCCACGAGCTGAAATGAGCTAAAGCCTATCAGCCCACGACCATGAATCTAGAAGATGATGATGCTGACCTAGAAATGTACACCTATTCTATTAGTATGTAATCCTTATTTTCAGCTGTTTCATATGAATTTTAATTTTATAATTGTTGTGGTACTTAAATATTGATTTTATGGATTGTTTTCCAGGGAGAAGATGATGATGCTGACATTGAATCTGTGAACTTTCCTAAGTTTGTGGTGGCAAGCAACTAGTTAGTATACTGGAACGGCATGATCATGGATGGACCAGCTATGTTGCATGGTTGATAATTTTGATGAACCTGATATGTATTAATCATGTATGGTTGCATAATGATGGACGTCACATTCTTAAATTAATGTAGCATAAACATTATAAACATGTGTGTCCTATTTTTTTTATAGCTCGCGAGTTAAACGAGTCAGCTCAAGCTCGGTAACAAACCGAGCCGAGCTACCCCTCTAGCCTGTAATATTAACGAGCCGAGCCGAGCTGGCTCGTTAGCCTAACGAGCCAGCTCGAGCTGAACCGAGCCGAGCCGAGACGGCTTGATATCCAGCCCTAACAACGGGCAGTATCTGCCTGAGGTCACCACCCAGCACAACGACCTTACCTCCAAAAACCAAACCATGTGACAGAAGGTCTCTGAAGGTTCATTCTAAGGCCTCAAACGCATGACGATGTGTCATCAAAGCTTCATCCCAAATGATCAGTGACGCCGACTCAATCAGCTCACCAAGCATGGAACAGCGTTTTATATCACAAACAGAATCATCATCTAGGTCGCACGGTATCTTGAAGCGTGAATGAGTGGTGCGACCAGCTGGCAGCAGCAGGGCCGCTACACCAGAAGAAGCAACAGTGAGCACAATTTTTTGGTGCGCACGTAGCCAAGCAACCACAGCTCCCCAAAGAAAAGTTTTACCGGTACCCCCATAGCCAGATACAAAGAAGAAACCTGGCCTATCATTTAGAACAGTTTCTGTGATCGATTTAAATGCAATTAGTTGCTGTTCATTTAGCTTGCTGCACTACTGGATTCAGGTTCTTTGCCGAGTGCCTGAGGCACTCGGCAAAGGCTATATTGCAGTCGGCAAAGGCTTTGCCGAGTGCGGCACTCGGCAAAGCACACACGGCAAAAAATTGATCGGCAAAACACTCTTTGTCGAGTGTATTTTATCGGGCACTCGGCAAAAAAAAGCGACCGTCACGGCGCCGGTCCCGTTGACGGTCACTTTGCCGAGTGTCAACCGTGCAGGCACTCGGCAAAGATTTTTTTAATTTTTTTTTAAAAATTTCTTTGCCGAGTGCCAACCCGTGAGGCGCTCGGCAAAGATTTTTTTTAAAAAAAAAATTCTTTGCCGAGTGCCAAACCGTGAGGCACTCGGCAAAGAGCTTTTATTTTTTTTTTGAAAATTTGATTTGCCGAGTGGCAACCCTCCAGGCACTCGGCAAAGATTTTTTATTTTTTTTAAAAAATTCTTGGCCGAGCGCCAACCCGGAAGGCACTCGGCAAAGAGGTTTTATTTTTTTTTTGAAAATTTTCTTTGCTGAGTGCCAACCCTCCAGGCACTCGGCAAAGAGCTTTTTTTTTGAAAATTTTCTTTGCCGAGTGCCAACCCTCCAGGCACTCGGCAAAGAGCTTTTTTTTTTTTGAAAATTTTCTTTGCCGAGTGCCAACCCTCCAGGCACTCGGCAAAGATTTTTTATTTTTTAAAAAAAATTCTTTGCCGAGAGCCAACCCGGAAGGCACTCGGCAAAGAGCTTTTATTTTTTTTTGAAAATTTTCTTTGCCGAGTGCCACCCCTCTAGGCACTCGGCAAAGATTTTTTATTTTTTTTAAAAAAACTCTTTGCCAAGTGCCAACACGGCAGGCACTCGGCAAAGTTTAATTTTTTTTTAAAATTTCTTTGCCGAGTGTTATAGTCACAGCACTTGGCAAAGCTGGAAAATCTGTTTTCTAGTCGCCCATTTTGCCAGCTTTGCCGAGTGTTGTGACCATTGCGCTCGGCAAAGGCGTCCTTTGCCGAGTGCAACACTCGGCAAAGTAACCCAAAACGGCAATTTTTTTTTGCATTCCATCATGACAAATACATTCATACAAACATATATCACATATATATCTCATCCATCGCATATATATCTCATCCATCACATATATATCTCATCAATCACATATATATCTCATCCATCCGCCCATATCACATCCATCACAATATATAATAATAAGTGCTCAAGTTCATCCAAATAAGTTTACAAGTCCATCAAAGTCCACAAGTGCATCACAAGTATATCACAAGTCCATCACCAAGTGAACAACAAATATAAAAAATACAATATGCACTCATCTCGGCCACTGCGACTGTGGTGAAGGCCCAGATACATCATTCGTAGGTGCATGAGGTGGATTTTTCGAACCACCGTCAGATGGAGACTGCACAAAGGAGAAAAGATTGCATGTGAGACAAGATTATTTTGATAGCACAAGCGAAAGTAAAAAAACTTTGATACTCACAGGAGTAGCTGCAGCTGCAGGACGCGGAGGCGGAGGTGGAACCAACAGCCCAGGTGGCAGAGACAAGCCCATACGTTGCCCAAGCCCTTGTAGGAAATCCGTAATGTCCATCAGCCTCTGCGCCTGGGCCTGCCGCTCGGCCTCCAACTGGGCCCCCAGCGCCTGACGTTCCTTCATTTCTTGTTCCAGCCGGGCCTGCAATACTTCACTCCAATGTTTCAGTAATGCAAAGCTAATTAAGGTGTGTAAAGATCAATGTATGACGAGTAAAACAGGAATAACCTCGAGTGCGTCGACCCGGTGCTGTGCAGCAGTCGGCCGTGTGCGAATGGCTGGGCTCTCGCTCGTGCTCCGTGCTCGGATCTAGGAGAGAGAGGGAGTAGAGGCCGTGTCGATGACGCCGTCGCCAAGCCAGAACCGCCCATGCTTCTTGCCTTGCCCCGCCCTCATGACGGCCTCTCCATCGAAGTCCTGGGTGCTCGGATCGTGGTCTGCCCCATAGAGCGACCTCGCCACCTCAGTGTACTCACTGATGCGGGAGTGGACGCTCGGGTTCGTGTATGCCTCGGGCGGGTCCTCTAGGTTGAAGGAGATGTTGGACGTCACCTTACCCTTGTGGACCATACACCATGCTTGGAAGTCCGAGCAAGTCTGGCCACTATGTGACGCCAACTGCGAGAAAGACAGCACGATGATTAGAAATCAGACAGAACTGAGCGTGACAATAGATAAATCAATTCGCGTACCCATGCTTGTTTGTATCCGGCGAGGTTACGGCTGCCTTGATGGTGTGCTGGACCTTGCATCAGTAAACGACGGCCCCGGGCATCCCTGTGCATCTTGAGGTACTCCTCCGTGAACCACCTGTCCACCATCATCGCCCAGCACTCGGGATACGCTTGGCACCACCAGGAAATCACCTACACGTCATCAAGTATTGGACATATAAGAAGATCAAATTAAACCAACTTAATCTCAAATCGAATCAATATTGATACGGTAGGAACGGAAGGTACCGTAGGATTTTCATGGGGATCCAAAATAGATACGGTCATAGATATGCAAAGATCTGCATACCTCCAACCGTATCTCTTTCGAACGGGAGACGCCTAACTAGGTTACGCGATCTACGACAATGATACGAAAAGAGGGGTTATACCTAGGGTGGCGACAGAGTCAGGCTAGCGGGGCCGTGGCGGGTCGGTGCAGTGGCGAGGCGACGACGGTGCAAGTGCGAACCGACACGGTGGCGAGAACTCCGACTCAACTCGACGGGCTCTTCTCTACAAAATGGAACAAAAATCATCATTTACAAAAAAAATCGGCAAAACCTCTCCTGCACGGTGAGGTTTCCAAAACCTGCAAAAAACAACGGCACGATGGCCGACAAGCACATAAGGCTCAACAGAAGCCATGTAGTTTGGATATCAATCCATGCAGAAAAATATATCCAAGTAGTACCACTACTTGTACTACTACTTTCACTATTGCTACTACTACTACCATTGGTTCTTCTACTACTACCACTATTGCTACAACTACTATCATTAGTTGTACTACTACTACTACCACTACTTCTACTACTACTACCACTAATTCTACTACTAATACTACCACTAGTACAACTAATACTACTACAACTACCACTACCTCGACAATAATAAGTGAGAAGGCATACCTGGCGGGCGACGAGGTAGGGGCGGGCGACGTCGGGATCGGGCGGAGTCGGGGACGGGGTCGAACAAGGATGGCGTCGGGGTGGGTGGTCCACGGGCGGCAAAGGGGGGAGGCAAGGCCGAAAAAGGCGTGGTCGGGTGTAGGGCCGGTCGAAGTCGGTATGGCGAGGAAAGAAGAGGGGCAGTAGGGGCAGGCTGTGGCTGGCATGGGCGGTGGTGTGGTGGGGAAGGCAGTAGGGGAAGGGCGGGGGGAAGGGGCAGGTGTGGTGGTGGTGGCTGGGTGGAGGGCCTGGGTGTGGGCAGGCGGCGTGGTGTGTGGTTGTGTGTGTGGTGTGCCGCGGTCAAAACCACTAAGTCCATGGCTTTGCTGAGTCTTAGGATCGGGGAGGCACTCGGTAAAGATTCATTTTTGTTTTTAATTTCTTTCGAGTGCCCCGGATCGCACTTTCGGCAAAGATCATAATTTTAAAAAAATTCTTTGCGGCGTCTCGGTCTGGCGCTCGGCAAAAAACCCTATTTTAAAATACTTTGCCGAGTGCCAGGAGGCGG